AACCACACGATCTTTAAAACCAAGCATATGATAACTGAAAATATCTATATCCAACATTCAACACTTAGAGGTCGGCAATGGTGGGCGTGGGAACATTTGTTCAATCGGATGGCATGGCTCAGCCTTGCAGATGTAGTCACTATACCCACACCAAATATATTTTTCCACTCTTAGCCAAAATGTGTTCCTCTGAAATAATAAGTATCATTGTCAATTATAACGACACTATGAGTCACTGTAGACAATGATGCGACATCCATGCAAGGTCTTACAGATTAGGCAGTCACATTATGACATATCTACAGTCTTTGGATTACGTCTATTATTAAGGCAGTACTATTACCGAACTTAACTATAATTTCACATACTAACAAGATTTATAGCGCAAAAGACTGAGTATAGTCGTTAACTTTATATTTAAATAATTCACTAGGTGTATCAACGTGGCAGTAGTCATTAGTAAACACGGTGTCACATAATTTTCTACACCCAGAAATTCGCTAAGTTGTTTACCAGCATAGACTTCATTATTGGGAAGGTTTGAACCTCTCAATTCGTTGACAGAAACCATAAGTTGCAAATCAGAGAACATATGGCGACCTTCCTGACCTATTTCAATTCTAAAAAACAACAAATCAATCGTAAAACAGACGATTAGAATTTTTTCTCAACAAGTAAATGAAATATCAACTGATATAATGTACCTATAAATGTCTTACAGGTTGTAAACAGTGCTCCTCATTTTCTAGCCCCCACATCGTCATTTGGTATTTTCGAAAAAAGGAGGCACCAAATAAACCGTTTTAAAAACTTCAAGAAGTAATATGGAATTTATGAAAAATACAACCACAGCGTTCATAACACAACTAGCAATTCACAGTTTACATGCAGTAAGACCAGTACCACTACAAATTCGTTGATAAGCGCTATTTAGATGTTAGTAGTCAATATGTGTTAGAACCTTATTTATAATTTAGTCAGGGATTGCAGATTCTGTTTGTGGTTCATTCGTTAACCGTATAACAGACACACCGTAAATTACTATTAACCAGCCACATGGTTTGGTTACCATGCTCAAATCAAACACGCATCGTTTTATTCATGAGGAATATGTGACCAATTAATGTGACAGTTACAATAATGTTTTACACAGTTACTGCAAATGTTCAGAAAAAGGGCAGAAAAATCTACTGTCAATTGTTAATCATAGAATTTTTCTTTCTCAGATACGTTACATAATAATATGTCAGTTCAGTCAAAAACGATAATACTTATAATGGATAAAGGCTTAATTAGGGATGTGAATCGAATGTAAAAGGTTTACGAGCTCATTTTTGCCTAAAAATCTGACTACGGTCTATTTTTGACTTCATAAATGATGAAATTTGCTTGGTTGATATTGCATTGCTACAAATAATCACATCAGACTGACTTAACGTTCGCCCAGGTTATGAGCAACAGCTACTTCAAACTACTAATAAACTGGAATTGAAGCTATGTAACAAGCACAAGCATTACGAAACTTGACGCGTGACGGAAAAATGCTGTCAATAGATGACAAATAACGCCATCCGAAATGCTCAACAACATATGCACGAGAACCCGTAGCCTGACTTCACTATCCTCGTTTTACCCTAAAGTCGAAAAGACCTGTTGTTAATGAATGCCTATAAAACTGCACAATACTCCGTGCAAGGGATAGTGTTTGTTGCACGGTTCTTGGTTTCAAAGTTTCGGCTGTTGTGAGTTTCAAACAGTAATGCTCGAGCGATGTATTTGCTGTGTTTACCGTGATGATTAAGGACTGATGGGTTAAGTAAGGACCTGATCACAAATGTCTTTGAATGCATACTCCAGTACTTGATGTAGTAGTAAGCGTTCAGTTATGATAGTGTGGTATGCCCTACTTACGCGAACAGACATAAGCAGTATATGGAGGGAATTAAGATCATAATGGTCGTATTTTGCAGAGCTACTGTTTGATTTTGCGTAAAGCAGTAAACTGATTTTCCCCTTCAAGTCTTCGTTCACTACACTGAGACTGAAAGTGTTGAGTTTTGCCGAAATATTTATGGTATTCGATTAACACCGGAATTACAGCTTATTTTATTGACGCTGACACCTAGAATCAATAGCAACTGTATACAAACAGAAATACTGCTGGGAACAGGATGTCCAAGAACTGTATTATAGTGAAATAAATTTAGGGTTGCATCAGGCTGGTCCAATCTGCATTGCATTAAAATTATTACACATTGTTCAGTGTCGATCCACCAGCGCGCCTCAGATACTTATGGGAATATAGTAACAGAATACAATCGGTACATGGACAGACAAACGAAAAATTTTGAAGCATTCACGTATAGGACCTTTGAGTCAGTTAGATAACTGACCGCAGGTTTGCCAGTAAAAATTAATTTATGCATTTAACACTTACATAATCAATCAGATATAAAATCCCGAAATGAGCTCACAGTAAGTTTAATATGCTTGTACCAAGTACTATACCGTGATCATGGTTAGTTTGTAGAATCATGTTCAACTTTGTTATTAGTGCTGCTCTAATAATAGACCGAATCCGAAAATTGTACATTTGTTACGAAGTAACTGCCTAATCTATAAGACCTTACGTGGAAGTCACATCATTGTCTACACTGACTCATCGTATCGTAATAATTACCAATATATGATGAAGAACACATTCAGGCTGGAGATAGAACAATAGATTTAATCTGAGTAAAATATATAAGGTACATTCAACAGTGACGCCTGCAAAGCCGAGCCATGCCATCCCATCAGCTCGAATTAATTCAATTTCTTGCTCCCTTCGTTCCCATCGTTGGGTTTTTTTCCGCGCCAAATGTTGAATATCTATTTCACCAATTCTCTCGTGTTCAGCTTTGATGATCGTGTGGTTAGGGCCCAATGCTACTACAAGTTCAAACCTGAGAAAAGTAATTATGTCGATGAAAATTTCAACCAGATGAATACAGAAAACTACTAAATACAGATGTGTACATTATATCATGTAAATACCTTAGACTACGAATCTTCAGATTGTGTCCTGACTAATTTGAATGGAGTTCTAAAGGTTTACGAAGGCATTGGTGAAGTCCCAGTGGAGATTTAAGAAAATGGCATATCATACATAGGCAAATAAAGTTATATGAGAAACTAGATAAAGCGATCTGGATTGCTACTTCATATAATTCAATTAGGGCAAAGTAAGTCAAGTGTTTACTGGTTAGTGCTCCGTGGCCCATTATCTGACTTCAATTTGATCGTGTGATTATCATTATCGAATAACTGCTGTCGAAATATACATGCCTGCTATCCTCGTATCTTATTATCGACCTAACTTGCGTTGGTGAATAACGTAATTAAATAAGTCAAAACGAGAATAGTTTTTTGAATATGTATATTTTGTACACTCATTGATCTGGAGGGTTAAGCGAAGGAAATACAGAGAAGAGAGCTAAACGAAATGACGCGCACTGCAGAAGGCGTGTGAACCAGCTCTATTTAATCAAACGTTAATCGATATTTATATTCAAATAAAAAGAAGTTACAGACATGTGGTGAGTCACATAAGCAATGAACACATATACTTTCACATAAAAACAGTCAAGGTTGATTGACAAAAATAACGGGGTCAAATATATGACTGAAGAAAAATGGATATGTTGACCTGTCCGGAAGTTAGGATAAGCTATGTAAGCTTAACATAGCAACCGACACTATAAATAATCTAACAACTATGCAACGTCACAATAAGTGTACGCAGATAATAATGATTATGGACGACCGAAACTGTTTACTTGCTCAAAGTTTTAAAAGAAAGGAAATTTAAATAAGATACATCAGAAATAAGATCTCATAGGGGTTTTTAAAGCGAAATTTCGGAGCTTTTTTAATGAACTTGTAGCGTTAAATAAACCCTCAACATCAGTATCTCTGTATGTCCTCGACATTTGACTCTGACCACATTGGTTTTACTGGACTCACCTAGCTGAAGGCTCTCTGCCACTCAACCACACCAGATCAAGAGTGGGTAAGTCCTGCCAGATTAGGTCAAAAATTCCTTCGATACACAAATATCCTCCCAAAAACATTTTCAAACGTCTTCATTCCTGACTTCTGGTTTGGCTGGGTTGGCATACCTCGATTATACAGATGTTACTGGTCCAGGAGCTGTCAAACTGCAAATACTTGTGGCACCTTTAGACTGTATAAAGCCTAAGAGATCCGGCAACGGAAATAATTAATCGAACTCGCATTATCATGTTTTTACCATTTAAACTATAGTTGAGTTCATGAGTATATGTAAGCTAGACTACCATAGAAAAGCTGGAATCACTGGACTGCCGTATCGGCTCATGAGTTCACCTGTTAAAATTACTACAATCTCAACAAATCCCCATTCTTATCATAATTTAAAGCACATCGGGCATTGTTTAAAATGGCTGGATATCTAACAATCAGGCTAAATCTATATAGAATGGTTCGTGAAGAAACTATTCAAAAGTCTAGGCGTTTTTATTGGAAGATAAGTAGATATAACGTAACTAATCATGTGTATACAGTAGCTTCATGTTTACATCAGGAAATGATACAAATAACTGTGTTTAAGGCTCACATGGATAATTTGAACGTTAAATCAGTGCGAATGATCCTTTTTCAAACTGGACATGAAGGACGGATCAATGGGAGAGAAAAAGTCGGATAGTCTATTATAATGTTTTGGATTATTTGAATTATAGCACGAACTAAAAGTCCCAGAAATAACGCAATTGAATTAAGAAGTAAGACACAAGCACAAGCGAATGTATTGTATTTGGAATTCGAAATCGAGCATACAACAAGTACAAAGGTATCATTGGTTCATTCAAACACCACATCCGCCACAGCTTAAATTGGAGTCTAGGTGTTTGTAATCAATCGTACGTCTTCTTCTCAAATTCATCCTGAGTCTGTCCGACATTGTATCGGATAAGGATTCTGTAATAATAATAATATATTTCTGCATGTGCAGGTACACACCGTTTTTACAGGCATGATCTATAAATTACAACATTTGTTGGTTCGCAAAATGCTTCCCAACTTATTAAGTTTATAGTTGTTATAAGGTGAAATCGTAGAGCGCTTGCTGTAAACTATGACCTTGAGAGGACGCGTACGTTAAGTTTGCTCCAAACGTCAGAAGTTTCATAGCTGTGCTCTCAGAGCAAGATTCTGAAGGAGAAAAAAAAGAAACAGAGGAGCAGCAAGGCACTTGGATGTGAACGCCAAAGGTTGCTTAACATTGTGTAGTAGAACGGACAGAGGTATAATAAATTAGAATAAATTCATATTATGTCTTGTTAGAGTGAAGTGAAGTCAGAGGCTCCATATTAGAGAATGTACTAATAAAGAACAACGAGTAGTGATGTTTAACAAGTTGGAGTAAGCTCACATGAAGGAAGGGAAGTCAAGGTTGGTACAAGGGAAGCGGTTTATTAGAAGGGTGTATATATAGAGGGTGAAGTGTTAAGAATACTAGTGACTATATCTTTTATTGTCTTTTTTCTTTTCTTTTTTTGTCCATCCGATGTCAGCCACGCAATCCTAGTGTAAAAGTCCGAGTTAGCATGTTATAGGTTGTCTTAGTAGAATAGCTAATCCAGCATATTATTGGAAACATGAGTCTGAGTGGTGAGCGTAGGAAGACAATCTATATCTTAGATTGACTGTCTTATTCTCAATTATAAAGAGCCTGATACATACAAAATGTTCTGTCCCCACAAACACGGGTGGATTGAAGTTATCGCCCTCACCATCAATGCTTGCTGGTCAGTAACTCCACCCTCCCTCCTTTTGTGATGTTAGGCTCATTTAAGCTTATTTTTGTATATACGTCATACCTCACACAATCCTCTGTTTCACAACTTGTTGGAAAGCACTATTTCTATAAGTACCATTTTACAAGCTTATCAGGCAGTTACAAGCTGTGGACTGTGGGTAAAGCATCGATGCAGTGCCTCTGTTGACTATAGTATAAAGTATAGTTTGCCAAACAGAGTATAAGCGTTAAGAAGGGTATATTGTAGGATAGTTGTTTATTTAAGCAGGCGGAAAAAGTATAGAAGTATGAGTTGTGGATAAGGGAACGAGTGGAGAAATAATATTAATTGCTAGTCAACATAGTGTACAGAAGAGTAAAAAGTTAATATAGGATAAACAGGAAGGAACTCACAGTAACTTGGTGCTGATGTTATTTTCTGTTGTCTTAACCAGTTGATTGGTAACAGGTTCCATAGATGCAAGACCACTGGTAGTAGGCAGCCGATTGTCGGGTCCTCTTGACTTTTTAGGGTGGTAGTGATGGTCCCTTATCGACCGAGTTTAGTTTGACAGTAATGATAGGTCCAGTGAGTTACCTGTCTACTTCAAGTGAAGAAATGGGGTGGAAAAAGTAATTAATACAACTGCAAAGTAGGAAAAATAAGGCAAACTGAACTTGAAGTCCATTTTGGTCTAGACATGGAGAGAGCCTATGATGTCTGAGTGGGGTGCAGATGTGTTCGTACGTGCAAGATCAGTGCGAGTGAGGGCTTGATCAAGCAGTTTCACAAACGTATGTAGTTCATCTGCCATGCGAGTCTCGGAAGGAAGACTGTTCCATATTATTGCATACTTGGTGAGGAAGAAGTTTTCCCGAGTTTTTGATCTGTATTTCTCAACTTTGACCGTAGATACTTTGTTTCGAAGTTCGTATTCATGTGAATCTCGGGCAAGAATTATCTGACATGTTGAGTAAGTAAGGTTTTTGAGTAGTTTGAAGTAGAGAATCAAATTAGACCTAAGCCTTCTCTCCCAAAGGGGTGCTATTCCTAAGATTTGGCATCGAGAACTGTAGTCAATGACCGAGTCAGTCTTAAGTACTTTGCGGGTGAAGTCTCGTTGTATTCCTTCCACCTTTAGTATATCAGATAGACGTAGGTTGGAAAATAAAAACGAGCAGTATTCAACGATAGGTCTTACACAAACTTTGTAAAGAAGGATTTTAGATTCATTTTGATAGAAATTACGGAGAATGAAGCCAAGCAATTTCCGCATTTTGGATGCTTTGGCTGAGATGTGTTCAGAGAAATTAAGACTGTGTGAATAATGTACCCCTAGGTCAGTTACTGATGCCAGTCTGGGGAGTGTGTGATCGCTAATTGTTAGTTTCATTTTAAGAGACGTGTCTCCTATACATAACCAGCCGCATTTCTCTATGTTGAGCTCTAACCTCCAGCGTTTGCACCAGTCATCTACCATGTTGAGTTCATGTTGGATTGTTTGCATAGTACTGCGTAAATCGCAAATGTCAGTTTTATAGATGACTTTTAAGTCATCGGCATAGAGGTAGGTCTTACCTGTGCTGAAACACCTGCATATATTGTTGATGTAGATTATAAAGAGCAATGGACCCAAGACACTACCCTGCACAACACCACTGGTTATCGGTCGAGGTGTAGATGTATTAGAGTTAATCTTGGTTATTTGATATCTGTTCGTAAGAAAAGACTTGATCCATTGCAAAAGGGGATTTATAATTCCAACTGACTTCAGTCTGTTGATTAGAAGATTATGAGGTACTTTATCAAAGGCTTTCTTAATATCGAAGTATAGTATAATAACTAGTTTCTTCTGGTCACGCATACGAGTAACCTCGTTAAAGAAGTCTATCAGGCATGTACTGCACGACCTTGTTCTAATGAAGCCGTGTTGTGACGGGTCTATTAGATCTTCCTTGAGTAGGTGATCAGATAGTTGATTTTGTATCACTTTTTCCATTATGCGTGATATGACTGGAGTGATATTTATAGGTCTGTAGTTTTCTACCAGGTTTCTCGGTCCGGATTTGTGTTTGGGAAGAACATACGTTACCTTCCAGGTTTCCGGATATGTACCTGTCTCTAAAGATAATGTGTATATTTTGAGTAGTAGCGTCTGTATGTCCGGCCCTGACATTTTATAAACGATTGAAGGGATGTCATCGGCACCAGAACTCGCATTTGGCTTAAGGGTTTTAATGGCGGTATGTATACTCCTAATGTCGAAGTTTATGGTACTAAGATAGTTTTTGCCGGTGCACTTTATGTCGATATCTGGGGCATCAGATGTATTCCCATTGTGAGAAAACCATTCACTTAATAGTTCACATATGACGGTTTGGTCATTATACGTTACTCCATCGTGCAGTAAGGAGTGAATGTTGTTGTCTGTGTTCTTTCTTATGCGTTTCGTGAGGAGACGACATAGGGCTTGGGCTTTAGATGCAGCAGCGAGCGCAGTACGTTCCTCTAACTGTTTATGCTTGTTGTGTTGACTTTGTACTCCGTCAAGCACAGAGTATATCTGGTGCAGGGCACTGAAGTCTTTTGATATATAGTACATCCTTTTCAGTTTTCTCAGTTTAGACCTAGTCTTTTGGTTTATATAGGGAGTAACTGTTTTAAAACCAATTTTAGAGGGTATAGTAGTGTCTAGTGCAGATTTGGTGGTGATATTGAATATTTCTAATGTTTCTAAGAGGTTATTACTGGTAAAGAAACTGCCCCAGTCAGAGTGCTTTATTAGAAATCGAAAGTTTTCCCAGTCAGCGTTTGCATAGTCTCTATATTGGAATCGCGTTTTTAATGTCTTTAATTTGTTGCATATGGCAAGAATCGGAAGGGTGCAGAGGACTATTTTATGATCGCTGTTGTGAAACTTTTCGCTAACCACCATTGATGTTGGTGTGACACTATGACAGAATATCAAGTCAAGAATGTTGTGATTTCGTGTAGGCAGGTGTACATGTTGTTGCCAGCCGTGTATGTCTAAGGACCTAAGTATGCTTTCAAAGCACAATGGGCCAGAATGTGTCTTCCAGTTGATGGTGGGAAGGTTGAAATCACCACATACAATTTTGTATGTGAAGTCAAGCGAGGCAGCCTGAGCAAATGACTCACTTATAATAGTGTCAGTTGAACTAGGAGTGTTAGGAGCTCGATATATGCATCCGATTAGTATTTTACATTCATGAGTGTGCACAGTAAGCCATATCGATTCAGGAAGTTTGCTGAGGACGTGGTCGCTATAGGTTTCCGCTCTCAAATTTTTTGATACATAAACGAGACAACCACCACCCTTCTTGGTGACTCGATCACAGCGGAAGAGCTCATAGGTGTCTATTTGTAGAAATGTGTCTGTGGTATCGGAGGACAGCCAACTTTCCGTTATCAAAACAAGTGAGGGGTTGTTTAAAAGCAATAGGGTGCGTAGGTAAGTCATCTTACTTTGTACAGATCGAGCGTTGATTAACATAAGTGTCAGGTACGGTGACTGTTTGTCTAGTAGAAGGGTATGATGTAAACCGAGTGGTTTGTCTGTTTTGCCATGAGAAAAAGAAGAATTGGGAGCGTTGACTCCATATTGATGAGTGTTTAGTTTATTACCAGTAGGGTTAATGCAAGAAGGGTAGTCGGGTGTGGTTTTGGTGAAAGAAGTATGTCTAAGAGTGGAAGGTAGAGTCGAATGATTAGGTAATGTGTCCGGGGAATGATCAGGGGGTTCAGTCAAGGAGTTTTCAAGACTAGAGACAGTTATCGAAGTTGAGTAGGATGTGCTACTCCCCATTAAATCGGAGTATATAGATGGTTTCAGAATAGTGGGATTGTCGCCCTCAACATTTGGAGACCCCATAGCAGTAATGTTGAGGGGGAGAGAGATAAAAAAGGATGAGATAGTGTGCATGTCGAATTAGGGGGGACTAAACCGTTGTATTGGGTGGCTTGACTTAGATAGTACCTAGAATCTGTAGGTGGGTTCCCAAGTAGGCCAGCGTTATGGCTTCCTCGTGTGCGGTGGGCAATTTTAGTCCTATTGTGGTCAGTTGGGGAGGTTGTATGTTTCTGGTAAGGGATGAAGGAATGCCTGTTATTGTTGCCAGGAGAGGTGTTTCTGTTGTGTATAGTTTTGTGTTGGTTCATGGGGCTTACAAGGTTGACACCATATGACTTATGGGTATCACGTGTGGGTGTGGTTCTTGTCGAGTGTCGTTTCACATTAGGATGAGTGGGTGTTGCCAGTTCTCTATGTTTGTTGTAGGGCATTCTATTACTATGAGAAGGTGCATGTTTTGGGTTAGGGGTGCTGGAGTATTGGTGGGTTTTTACGGAGAGTTTGGTATTTTTTCGCACAGCGGTGTCTGTGGGTCTGTAGCTGTTAGCGCGATCCCTGGGAGGATCATTTTTAGGCATTTTATAAGGGCCGCTAGGGTAATACTTGGACGCTATTGAGGCATAAGTGGTTTGGCATTTTGGGGTAGCTGAGTGTCTGGGCTGAGGGTGAGTGGTTGTAGCTGCTTTATGTGCGGTCTTGTCCTTAGGACTAATAGCAGTGTCCGACGTGCCTCCGTTTTTTGGGGGGGCAGTGTATGATATTTTAGGGTTTGTGCAGTGACAAGAGCTGTAGCTGCCACGGCTACGTAAGCTGGGTTGATCAGTTTGTGTTCCATTGCAGATTCGACGCTGGATAGCGGTCCTGTCATGAATGATCCTAATCTTTTTAAATGTTGGAATACGCCTCAGTAATGACTGACTATTGAGGAGGTGATTAGCTTCAGTGGTGCTACCAAACTGAAATAGAATGGGACAGGAGGCTTTAGTGTGTGCCTTACGTAATCTTCTTGTTACACACCAAGATTGCGACAATCCACATTCTTGTAGCAGAGTATTTTTAGCAATCTTTATGTTCGTACTATCAGGTATATTATACACAATAACATTCTGCATACACTGAAGTCTTTTCAACACTTCAGATGATATATGGTCAATTACTTTTTCAGTGTTTTTTATAATTTCCAGATCGGGATTTTCTGGAACACTGATTAAATATTTGTAAGGTAATAGGTCTTGAATAGTTTGGGTGAGGCTAAGTTCTGTTTGGCTGCTTTTAGGTCTACCAGTGGTGAGATTATCGGAGTTTATATCAAAGTTTCTAAGGTCGATATGGTTACATACAGGCCTGTTGCAGGTGTCTAGCGGATGTTCACTTTGTGCACACTTAGTTGGGGGGTGGGGTATATGTCTGGGTGAGTAGTCAAGATCTACATCACCGGGCTGGCTATTGTAGGCAGGCTTACATGTACTCCGTGGGCCGCTACTCAGGATGGCCGATTGTGAGATTGCTGGGTGTTTGGGATCAACAGCACTGTCTAAATACTGCTCACAACATGTGGTGTTTTTGTTTGGACTGACAAATGATGTCGACTCTAACGGTATGTGACTGCTCTTATTTATATCGACAAGCGAGATGCAAGGTAGTGATATGTCTTGTCCAAGTAAACGGTGCACGTTTAGTGTGGCTGAGGGAAGATCAGAGTAGGATGCAGACTGATCAGTGTGTTTATAAGGTTTCACATTATTCGCTTTAGTGACTGATTTAGATCTTTTGCAGGTGCTATAGGCATCAGGAGAGATTATATGTTTTTTTTTATATGTATTGCCTAGAATATGCTCATTAGCATTAGAATTAACAATCGAAATTGGAACTGACTCTCCTGGTTCCTGAAATTGTATTTGATCTACATGTCGACTGTGTGTACTTAAGTCATCGATGTCTAGAATTCGCACCATCGATTTTCCGACATTCTTCAGAACAATACCCGTAGATGGTCGAAGATCATTTCCTCGATAGTATGTAACTTCTGCAGACTCCAAACATCTCATATTCGACCGAAGAATTCTTCCTTTCAATAGCTTCGCTGGAGTCTCCTTCGTCACCGAATTTCTGGCATTTCTATATTGCAAAAGAAAGGTATCTACTCCCCTCTCCAGCTCATTAAATGTTGAGGCGGCTATAGAATCAATAGCAGTCCTTAATGTCCTAACAAAATTCTCTGCCTGACCATTAGAACACGGATGTCTGGGAGCAGTAAATAGATGTTTTCACCCTATACCGTTCAACCAGGTAGTGACTGCATCTGCAGCAAAATGTTAGCCATTATCAGTCACCAACACCATGGGAACCCTTCTCGACTAAACACCTTTCTTAATGCTTGTATTGTGAAATCAGAATTTGGTGAAGTTGTGAAAAAAACTTCAGGCCACTTTGAAAAAGAATCAATGACTACTAGCGCGTAGTATTTACCAAGAAATGGTCCACAATAGTCAGGATGAATCCTCTGCCAGGCCTCAGAAGATACTGGCCATGGCACCCACTTCGAAGGATGATTTTTCAACTGATGACATTTCTCACAATTGTTTGCCGTACGACATATATCTGCATTTATCTCTGGCCACCAGCATGTGAGCCTTGCCAAGGACTTCATTTTCTCAACACCTAAATGACCACTATGAAGATCTTCAAGAACAGATTTACGCAATGAAGGAGGAATGACAACACGATCATTTAAACACAGAATACCATCAGGAGTAGTAGATAGCTCATCCCGCCTTGAAAAATAGATAGGAAATCTACATTTCAAATTAGCATTCCAACCTTTCCTTAAAGCACTGAATATACATCCAAAATATCTACGAGTTTCTCTAATGAGATCTGAACGTCTCACTGGTAAAGGTTGCACTAACAAACAATCCGAAGTATTAATAGGTCTATCTTGTAATGACTGTCGAGAAATGTAGTCAACATGTTGAATTTGTTTGGCACTTCTGTGCTGAACCATATAGTCGTATGCACTCAAAGCAATACTCCATCGTTGAACCATAGCAGCTGAGGAACGTGCTAAGGATTTTTCAGGATGATAAATAAACTTTAAAGCTTCATGATCAGTAACAATAGTGAATTTCTTTCCGAATAAATATTTATGAAGTCTTTTAACAGCCCAAAACACAGCTAATGCTTCTCGCTGAGTCTGTGAATAACCTTGTTCAGTAACAGTAAGTTTGCGTGAAACACAAATAACTGGTCTACCTTCCTGTTCCAAAACTGCACCAATTCCCACAGGTGATGCATCAGTAATAAGCACAGAATGTACATTAGGGGAGTACGTTCGAAGAACAGCATCACTTTGAAGAAACTTCAGCAGACTTCGTAAGCATGACTCTTGTTCCTCACTCCATTTGAATGAATTGGATGTTAAAATATTAAATAAACAATTTGCACGACAAGAAAAATTAGGAATAAAACGGGAATAGAATTGAAGAGCACCCACTAGTGAACGTAATTCTGTAAGATTTTTCGGAGACGGTGCATTAGTCAGTGGAGCTAGTCGTTTCATATCTGGTCTAAAACCATTACCATCAACTAGGTATCCAAGGCATTCAAAACTAGATACACAAAATGAACACTTATTTGGATTCACTGTAATATTCTTCTCAATTAAACGACGCAATAAAGCAATAAGTCTCTGGTCATGAACTACCTTATTAGAACCATGAACAATGAGATCATCTTGATAAACTTCAACACCTTCAAGATCACTAACTACTTTATTCATAACTTCCTGAAATATGGCTGGAGAACAACTTAGACCAAATGGAAGGAAATTGTATTTGAACAGACCAAAAGGAGTGTTAATTGTCGTCAAAATAGATGAAGATTCATCTAAAGGAATTTGAAGATAAGCATCTTTTAGGTCAACTTTCGAGAACACTTTAGAACCATGAAGTCGATTTAGAATATCTTCAGCTTCTACCGTCGTGCACGTTTGCTTCAACAAACGGGAATTCAAAGTTAATCTATAGTCACCACAAATTCTAGGGGTCTTGCCGTCCGACTTCAGTGGCGTAACGATAGGAGTACCCCATGCTGAAGACTGAATTGGTTCAATTATGCCTTTCACACACAAATCGTTTAATGTCTTATGTACTGCTTCTCGAAGACCATAAGGAATTATTCGTCTTTTAAGAAAGACGGGATCACCCTGTACTTGAAGTTTTATAGGCTTAATTTTCATACCTCCACTGCACTTAGCACACATAGCTATCAAATCTTTAAGTAAAGTATCAGAATTTTCTTTAGAAACTAGGAAGGACAACTCCACCTTAAGCCTTTTCAAATTCTTTAAACCCAATATTGACAGTCCTGTTTCGCTAACTAAAAATTCACAAGGTATGTATGAAGAATTATCATCTCTGATTAGCAATTCACAACATCCTCGTATGGGCAGTCTGTGTCCAGTAATCCCCAGTATTGATACTTCAGTGGGTCGTACAACAACGTTAGGATCTAAAGCTTTCAAGTTCTTGAATGAAATAATGGACTCTATACTGCCTGTGTCCAGAATAAAGTCATGAAATGAACCAAGCGATGTATATAGTCGCTTCTGAATATGAGCATTACCTTTCGAAATAGTAGACAAAGATAAATGATCACTAGAAACATCCGAATTATTGAAATTTAAATTTAAAGATTTAGTACAGCTTGAAGCAAAATGGACAGTAGCTTTGCATACTGACTGAATGTGTCCTACCTTATCACATTTAAAACATTTAGCATTACGAAATACACATGAATTGCGAGCATGAAACTTTCCACATGATAAACATTTACCAAACTTCATCTCACCTTTGTGATTTGCTTTGTAATTCCTCGTTGAAACACCTTTCATATTTACACGAGAATAGGAATCACTGTTAAATGAACGCAAGTTTGATTGACCCTGAGATTGTAGTTCATCACGACGACTAAGCAAAGTATTAGAAATCTTCATCGACTGGATATCAAGTTCATTGACTGCTTCGTAGTTAATACACGCAGTTCTAGCATCTTGAAAGGAACAGTTTGGCATTTTTAACAACTCTCTTTCCAAACTCGGTATGTTAATTCCTGCAATTAATCGATCCCTCAGTTGCACATGAAGTTGATCACCGAAATTACACTTGGCAGCTTGTTTCTGTAATTCAAGGATGAATTCCCGAGCCTTTTGGTCATTTTGACGAACCATCTTATGAAACTTCGCCCTTTCACGGCATTCAAAACTGGTGCATTTTACATGACTTGATAATAGCTCTTTAAGAGTTGCATAAGGGAGTGAGATAGGTTTTTCTGGATATGCCAAAGTTTTTAATAAGCTGTAAGCTTCTCTCCCAATGAATGTCAGAAAATGTGCCACAATTTTATCACCTTTAACATCTTTTTTGGTCATGCTCCAGATTTCGAACCTTTCAAAGTAATCCTCAAAAGCTTGAGTAGTTGGATGAATATCTAACTTTTCCATTGCAGGCTTAATCGCGACGCCAATACAATTTTTGAATTATTTGAATTATAGCACGAACTAAAAGTCCCAGAAATAACGCAATTGAATTAAGAAGTAAGACACAAGCACAAGCGAATGTATTGTATTTGGAATTCGAAATCGAGCATACAACAAGTACAAAGGTATCATTGGTTCATTCAAACACCACATCTATCGAAGTAACTGCTAACCAAACTCAATGGAAATCATGCATCTGATAGGCTATAATTCTCATATTAGGCGGAAAAGCCTATAATCCTACAATAAAATCTGAAAACTGACTCAAACAACTCGATCAGTTTGCACTAGCTTATCACAATGTTATTGTGTGCCAGGCGCGTCCTTCAAGAATTTGCGGTGTTTGTCTGGTCAACCTACTTCTCTACCTAACATGTCACCTTCATAAGCTTCATCACTTCATAATCGAAACAAATCACATCTGTTCAGAATTCTTACCTAGATAGTATTTCAATCCGCTGATGTAAAAAGCCACTTTTTGTGCAATGGATCCTGGAGCAAATGATTATCCAAGTGGAAACGTGAATACAAATGTACGGAATAATTCTTTCCGTATTTCTCCTGGAAACCCATTAGATAATTCAATGAATATTAGTGGGCCTTCATCTGTTGGTTACGCAAATAACGCTGGTCACGACAAAGAGGGTTTTCTATGCCTAAATCGTACTCAAACGGATTTCGTCCAAAATCATCAGTACATCCAGAGTGTCCATAATGATAGCAGTAACAATAGTCATTATTGCGGCAACTTCAGTGAGTTCTCCCAGAGTGGTTCTCGGAAACACCCTTTGTCTGGTGTCGTCCGAACCAGAAGACGAAAAGCTGGGATAAGTGAGGAAGAACGTGTTTGTATTGTATGTAGTGAACCAGCATCTGGCTATAATTTTGATCGTTTGACTTGCGAAAGTTGCAAGGCGTTTTTTCGCAGAAACGCACTCAAGCCTAGGGATAAAGTAAGTTTCATACATATGAATATGCCTAGCTCACACCATTCCTGCTGAAGAATCTTGCAGTATCGATGCCTTTAGTTCCAAAGACTTGTAAATTTAAGGCAAATTAATAGCAAACGCAGTTAAATGAAGGTATTCACTTATCTATGTCGAGTTTGTGTGTGACTGCTAATAGTTTTGAGTAATTAAGAAAAAATTGTTGGCAATGGGGTTTCCCAGGAGTATTCGGAATTGATCTTATGGTTTGTTGCAATGTATTTAGTCTTAGTGTCCAACTTATGTTTTCGTTTACAGTCCATCATGTCCAGTCATCAATTACTGAACTCTCTATGTGAACTTGTAAAATGGGTTACGAAGTAGCTTGTCATATGGAACAATATTCCTGTAGTCTTTTACTTCCGTTAACATTGGAAGGCCGAGACAACTTGCCTTGACTATCCGGAACTGGAAAAGTCATAATTCACTATTTTGTTTACTGTCTGGTGTTCTAGAGCCGCCTATATTTTTGTTGACTTACAGGCTTTTCGTCAAATAAAATGTATATTGATATGATGGATTGTTGAAGATTATTTCTTAAACACTAGTTATGTCACAAATTAGAACTAATTGTTGGTTGTGGGGACAAAGTTAAGTTTTATAGTTAATGCTTTTCCCACTTGAGAAACCTTGTCACTAATGTCCTTTTCCAGAAAAATTATCTAAGTTCTCATGGCTTAATGTCCTACTTGGATACCTCCTAATCAATTCAGGGTAAATAGACGGAATAACCATATTAGTTAGGGACATTAACAAGATACATCGCTTTCTGGACGCTGAGTGGTCCTTTAAATTGTTTGAGCTGAGTTTTTTACTACATGAATCAGAAAATAAATCTTCAGAACTAATTTGTATAGATACCTCAACAATAGGAGCTAAGTTGTGATGATTGACCATATTGCCTACCAGGGGGATCGAGTTAGCCCTCTTGAGATAGTGACTAACAGTCTTAGTGTAAACGTGAAAGTATTATTTGCGTTTCGTCAGTTTGAGTTTCTTCTGTACGGTCAAAAGGCTCGCCCAAGTTCAATTATATTTAAGTAACTTTGTTTAATGTGCTTTTACAACGCTGCTAAGTTTTTGTAATTACCGATCAGATAGAGTTGAAATTAGGTCTGGTTTCTCATGTCTAACCTAAGTCTTTTACTTATGTGTTACAAACCAAAAATGGGAATTGTTTGGACAACTTATAATTTTTCATAACGAGACCGCACTCCAGTAGTACAAGTATATGGCTAGATCAAAATATCTTCAACTAATTTTGTCACAACGGCTAAATAATACCTTCAGTCCTCACACTACTAATGGGGTGCGAAACCTAGGGTGCAAATGTTTTGTATTGCAGTTATGGGCAAAGAAAAGTTATTAAGATGTGCTTTTGTAAATAGCCGAAGGTTCTGGGTTTATTGTTTTAATCGTAGTTTCCTGAAGCTTTATTCATATCATCACCTACTAAACAGGAGTTCTTACGATGTTTCAAATTATACATGTTGTGTTAATTGGTAATAGTGTTTTCTTCCCAGACGAGAATCTATGGCATTGAAATAAAGTCATACTACATTGTTTGTGAATTCAACACCTAATTCACTGGGCTACAACTAATAATGCTTTGTGTAAGTATGTGGAATGTATCAAATGGTTATCAAGTTGTTGTTTGGCTCCAGTTTACAGTGACAGGATTCTATTCGTTCTTTGAAAATAAGACAAACATATAAAATTAATGGACGGATTAGCATGTTTAAATTTAAAAAAATATGGGCAATCGGTCATAATCATCGCTGAGCGCGGCACAAATATGCATTAACCAAGTTACCACACCACCCACCTAGAACTCTCTGGATACTTATCGGAGTAATTGAGGTAACCCCTACCAACAGGGCTCAAACCAGCAACTAGTAATTTCATATACTGATGCTACATTTTGTTTAAGATGCCCCTAGCTTTCTACCAGCCTTATTCTAGTTAGCGTAACACATGCCTCAACTACCTCCGCCTATGAAAATTCACAAATTCAGCATTTTTACATCGCCTAGTATCCTACTTCTAGTTGCAGTATCGTTTACTTGATCGTCTCATCATCAGTAATCAATGCTTGGAAAATACACTTATCTCTTTCATAGACCATGTGTCACAATCATGGAGTAATGCAAAGCACACTGTACGTCCGTTTAGTCGCTCTGTGGTTGCAAGATACACATCTCTACAACACAAGTAAATGAAGTTGGTGAATGTCAGTCTAGCTTTCTTAACCACTGGGGAAATCTTATTGGTTGGGAATCCACTAAGAGGGGTTTGACTTCAAAGATTAGTGAAGTAGCCGGAGCACTGAACTATTACACTTCCTGTGATTAGTGTAGACGTTTATGTAAATCGGTCCTGAAGCTACATCTTGCCTTCAGTTGGAGATATATATAAGTTATCCTTGACTTCTACTATATTGTGGCTATAGACCTGTTTAAGTAGTACAAAATAATAAATCTAAGCGAATTATTGAGTGGTTTCAAAGTGTTATTTACAATTTAATTACTATGAAATCACGATTACTCGAATAAATCAAGGTAATCATTCCTAAATAACTTCATAATTAGTTGTGGGATTTCTTCTACTCATCTCTTTCAGTGCCATCCTTCATTTTAATATATACTACATTCTTTTCAAGTAATCTTCTTATCCGTCAACAAACGCCTGATAAACCCAAATTTCTATTCTTTCAGATAAAAGCTTGTAATCGGGGTGGGGGGTGTGCTATTGAAGGCAATCAACGTAAACACTGCCCTTCGTGCAGGCTTGAAAAATGTTTGGCTGTTGGGATGAAAAGAGAGTTGATACTACGTAAGTGGTGTTTCTAAATTTTTGGAGTGAAAACAGTATATGTTATCCTTATAAAGGAAATGTGGTTCGGTATGTACAAGATCTGCCCTCTATTTTCTCAACTTATGCGCAAATAGTGATGAGAGATATTCCAATCTCAAATTTTCCCTTTAAAATTGGTCCTCATGGTATCAAGTTCATTCAAATTTAGTTTAAATACATTCAGACTTACTAAAAACTCACCATATAAGTGATTTGGATGCACCTAGCAATATAATCAAATAATAAATGATTTAACACTAATATTTTATTATAGGAAAATTGACCATAACTGTGATTAAATAGCATAAGAAAATGAAATCATCGAAGAAAAAATTTCTGCTGAACTGTCTTTATTTTTTCTTAAATGATAGACGAAGTTAGAAAAAATAATCGTAGATATGTCTTTTACGCAGAAACTTCACTAACTCTCATTAAAGGCTGAAAACTTGATGGTCAGAATGTCACGAAGGAAAGCACCAGTTTTATTTGGCCACTGATATCTCAAGCCATCTGAACCATCACCAGTAAGTAGTTTTGTATTAGTGAAACAATCTTCAAGTTGAGAAAACGCAAATTAACAACCATCTAAAGCTCTGTCAATAATTATTGAAACACTGAAAAACAGTTCAACCAAATGTTGAACAACTGTCTAAATCTGAACATCAAACTCTATTGTTAGTCAACAAAGTAGAGTTCTTAAAAAGACTAAAACTGCGAAACATTCGGGTCAGACAAATCGACTCTTACGAAAACTTGGGTCAAAATATGAATTTGGTTGTTTGAGGCGGTATCAGAAGCTTTGTGTTTTATTCCACTAAACTTATGTTGTCGTGATTACCTTGGAAGACTTCTTACGCACTCCAGCTGCTTAGTATTTCTCAAACTATGCAAGACACGTCAAACATTAAGTCTGTTTTTAGTATGCTGTTTGTTAGAAAGAGGATACCTGTAAAAGATCTCTGTGTAAGGATTTACTTCCTACAGTTATGAAATCTGTCATTTCCAAGCTGTTCATCAGTTCACTAATTTGAAACTCTGTCCCTGAATGATTTTCCTCGTTCAGTACTAACATCGTTTAGTAAGTATCAAGGTCGGGTGACGTAACTAATCCAGATAATAGTTTGTTATTTGTTGTGGATCGACCAATAATATTTAAGAAAAAAACCTTCAGTAAATTATTGCACTTAGGTGCGCTACTCAATTATATACATTGGCTCAAGGCCCATTGTTCAACTGAGTCAAATATGGCCTTAAGTTCATGAAATACAACTACAGTTGGATGTTGTTTATTGTCCTTATGATCTAAAAGTTGTATGGTAAATATTTGTTCGAAAAATTGATTTTCAGGTTTGAAACTCCCAGTTTTATTGAGTTTATTGTTCCCGAACTACAGCTTAAGATCAAGAACTTTAGAATTTATTAATATACACGTTTGGTCAAACTCATTCCTCTTAGGTTCGCACAAGGGGTTAGCAAGTTACAATGTCAATTGCATACAACTCAACGGCTAAAAGGCAAGATCAGTAGAAACTCCTTTTTGACTCATTTTAGCAACGAGATGTAATTTAAGACAGAAAATAATAGTGTTTACTTTCTTACTGAAATTGTGTCCGTTAATATTCTCCCAGTTTCGTTTCTTCTAACACTTGTTTCATTCTGTAGCGCATTTATTACCCTCCATTGTACAAAGCTCGACATTCTAGCTACATGTAAAGCTAAATAAATTGATTGAAAGTTATGGAGTACTAAGTAAATAAGTTATTGTTTTTATCTTAGCTTTTAGTAGTACATCATATAGTTTTTTTCCCAGCTGTTCATTTCTGTTTTTTTAGCACCTGAAAAACTTGAACAACGAGCTAAACCTCGACGCCGCAAGCACCATTCTCCTCAGGATAGCAGTTCCTCACCTCAGAATTTGTTAACTGGACCTTCTTCAGTTGGCAGTAGTAACACAAATGCTTATCCTCCCTATTTACCATCTCCTTTAACTACATCATCTCACCCACAACATGGATCTAGTCAAACATCTTACAATTCTTCATTCATTTCTGGAGCTAGCAGACCACTACATCTGATAAATTCTGTCAAATTTTCTAGTTATGTGAATTCAAGTCATTGCAGTGACTTATCATTAACTACGGATACATTTAATTCCTCTGGAACTTTAGAAACCAAAGAATGTAACTTCCCAAATAGTTCAATAAAAATCCCTGTAATTGGAAAATCCGATGAATTATTTATGCCACCTGTAAATCAAGATCAAAATCTGAATGAGAAATTTTTATCTCTTGAATCATCTCAACAGTCAGACAGTGTAAGTAAAATACACATCCTTTATTCCTATGCATATATACAAAACTGAACCATGTTTTCGAAGATATTTTAGTGGTTTCGAAACATGATTAATGAATTTCGATCTCCCAGACCGTTATCTTATCTCAATTAGTATTTCATCATTGCACACACCCAACGCTTTTCACTTTTGAACAGGAAGCTTTTAGATATAACACCAATTATACTGCCCCTTAGATCGTTCAGTTGCAAGGCTCTTTTCAGAAAGATTGATGTTGAGCCTATTTGTAATGCTTTCACTTGCACACTGTATAATGAAGTGCGGCGTTTTTGTTCTAATTTGTGTTTTTTAGACAGGATACAACGAAATTACAGAGATACTTATAAACTATTGACATTATCCGTTTAATCATATAATTAAGCCTGTCACCCGTCATGGAGGAGCATGGGCTGCCCACCAGCATTCTCCAACCAACTCTATCCTGGGCAATCTCTTCCAGTTACTGTTCATTCTTTTGATATCTGCCTCTAATTCTCGACGCATTGTGTTTCTTGATCTTACTCTTTTCTTCTTATCTTCATGATTCCAAGTTAGCGCTTGCTTTGTGATGCAGCTTGATTTCTGCAATATATGTCCTGTCCACCTTCAGTGTCTTTTTGACTCTAGTGCTCCCCTTCACTCTCTTGTTTGCCTCTGTGTATTCACTCTGTGCCTTGATTTTCTCTGCTCTTTTTCGATTGTTGTTCATTGTCTTCTTGTCTTTTCTTTCTTGAATCCTGTCCAGGTCATCGATAGAGATCTATTCTTTATGATGACGCGTCTTGTGGCCCACAACTCCTAACACCTTGAAGTTAGTGCTACTTTGATACCTTTCCAGTTGTTCCCCATTGTAGTTTTTTCTCCTTTGAGTAGATCTTGTAAGGTTTGGGACCTGTTAAGCTCGTCGAGTTTGTCAGTATCTAAAAGGAAGATTTTATTAGACATTTGCAATGCTGTTTGTCCAGTGCTTCTTTAGCTTCAGTTTCATCTTGGTCACAACCAGGTGGTGACATCAACATCTGAGGGAAGCATGGGATACATTGGGCAGCTAGGATGCAGCTGGACGATCTGGACTTCGCAGATGATCTGGCTCTTCTGTCACACACGCAACAAAAAATGCAGGAGAAGACAACCAATGTAGCAGCAGCCTCCGCAGCAGTAGGTCTCAATATACACAAAGGGAAAAGCAAGATTCTCCGATACAACATAGCATGCAACAATCGAATCGCACTGGACGGAGAAGCTTGGGAGGATGTAAAAGCCTTTACATACCTAGGCAGCATCATTGATGAACAGGGTGGATCTGATGCAGATGTGAAGGCGCGGATCAGCAAAGCAAGAGCAGCATATTTACAACTGAAGGACATCTGGAACTCAAAGCAACTGTCAACCGACACCAAGGTCAGAATTTTCAATACAAATGTCAAGACAGTTATACTGTATGGGGCGGAGACCTGGAGAACTGCGAAAGCCATCATCCAGAAGATACGAATGTTTATTAACCGTTGTCTACGCAGGATACTTCGGGTCCGTTGGCCAGAGACTATCAGCAGCAACCTACTATGGGAGAGAACAAACCAGATCCCAGCGAAGGAGAAATCAAGAAGAAGCGCTGGAAGTGGGTAGGACACATATTGAGGAAAGCACCCAAATGCGTCACAAAAACCCTCACATGGAATCCTCAAGGCCAAAGGAAGAGAGGAAGACCAAAGGACACATTACGCCGAGAAATGGAGATAGAAACGAGAAAAATGCACAAAAATTGGATAGAACTGAAAAGGAAGGCCCAGGACAGTGGGTTGGAGAATACTGGTCGGCGGCCTATGCTCCATTGGGAGTAACAGGGGTAAGCAAGTATGTAAGGTGGTGATCTAAATCTATATCAGCTTCTCTCCTGGTTCTTATGTCTTCCATTGTCCTTATGAACTGTTTAGTGATACAGATATAAACTACCTGGTTCTCCGTGGTGTGATCCGGTGAGATCCATGTAGCCTTGTGTATGCGTTTGTGGGGGAATATTATACCACCTGTAACCATTTTGTTGAAGGCACATAAATTTACAAATTTCCAACCATTTTGGTTTCTTTCTCCCAATCCATGCCGTTTAGGTCTTTCATCAGGACGGTTAGGTCTTTTCCTGAGCTCTTCTCTATGATCGATTGCAGCCTCTCAGAAAACTGATCTTTATCGTCGTCTTTGCTATCACTCGTGGGTGCATTACACTGGACAATATTCATTGTAATTTCCTCCTTTGTTTTGAAAGACGCTTTGATGATGCTTGATCCATGAGAGTCCCATCCTCTGAGTGCTTCCCGGGGTTCTTTGTACAGCAACTTCCTGAGTGTGTGGGGCATTTTCTTCATGAACAGAGTAAAGTACCATCTCTCTCGAATCTATTTTTTTGTCCAGCTTGGTTCCAATGGGTTTCACTCATTCGGAGAACTACCACGTAGTATCTACTCACTTCCACAGCAATTTGATTGGTCCTCCTGGTCTCCGACATTGTACAGACACTTCATGCACATGTATTAATTGTTGCTCTGGTTGTTGGAAGGGACATTGACCTCATGACTTTTGAAGAATATCGGCTTTCACTATGAGATGTCATAATTCTTATAAACGAAGGTCCTTCGACCTTCAGGACAGAGTTGAAATTATTCGTTCTGGTTAGCGCTTTTTAGAAAGGCTTTCTCGTACGAGATGAAGTTACTGATTATTTCCACAACCCTCCTTTATCTGAGCTTGGGAGTTGCAGTAACCCTAAAACGTCTACAAGCTGATTTAATTCGATTGTATGATAATCCTTATTCCTTATAGTATACATGCATTTATTTGATTATTTTATTTAACAATTTGAGCAAGGTGTTTATAAATTTATGGGCTAATGTTCAACCAACTTAGTAACTGATTATCATTTAAAACTGTCTCATAGATTCTTGATTTGTATATTCCATCTTATGCTTTTATTATTCAATGCAGCAGTTGGATAGACCTTTTATGAGTCTGTATTACCTGGTTCCGTTGGTAGCCAATCTTAATGTAGTCAGTAATGTCCATTAATTCTAGAGAAATACCAAGATATTTTGGTCTTTTCTAATCAACCAACATTCTCCTTTGCAGCACATACATGTACACTATAAGTAAGATTCTTCCTAAATTTCTATCTCTACGCTTAAATGAGTAGGCGCTGAGTGAGATAATATTTTTCTTGTAATTAGAGTTGTCGCTTACCATAATTGGGTAGTTTTCAGAGCACAATCACAACACAGGTGCCTGTTATCTGTTCACTGTTTTACAATATGAAAATCACTATTCAATTGACTTTTCTTGGCTCGTCTGTCCAATCAAAAAGTGGATTCTGCTTCTATGGCTACACGTTTGCGGCAATTGTGGTCATTGTGGTTGTACCTCGAGACTACATCCAAGAAATGACGTTCATTCCGACGTAAAACCTTGCGGACCCGTTTAATTGTGTAGATAATGTCGATTGAGTAACTTGGATGTTGTGTATGTACATTTAAGAGAAAATTAATGGAAAGGAATATGACATCAGAAGATACCAGAAAGAAAGCTAATTTTGGAGTGAAAGCAATGAAATATTAGTAAAAGTATGTGGAGAAGTGAGGAAGTTGTTAATTGATTTCGATTAGAAATTACACTATTATCAGCCAGTTAGTTTGCTCTGTAACTTTTAAGTTCAAATCACTCACAATCTTTTCAAAAATACTTGATTTCGTTTTCGTACAGCCGAGTTTATACTTTCAAAAGTGAAATAATCGAGATAAGGATAATTTGAGACAACGATGTTTATTAACGTAGGCCCCCTCATTGAGGAGGAAGGATATCTGGGAGGGTTGGTTTCTCTTTAAAGATTTTACCTTTGTTACATCTATAATTACAACCATTAGTAAGCTTTTCTTCATGAATCAAAAGTTTTCCGATTTCTGAAGATGAGAATGACCTAAATAGGATTAATCATTCACATGAGGAGTCACGTCTAGCATCGGAATATTTTATGGATGATATTTTAATACAACAAGACATGGTTATACTCCATAGTTTGTGTCATACCGCACTGTTAAATAATTTGACCGCATATTTAAGTTTCCTCTTACACTTAATGATCATATTATTCAGGTAGAAATTTTCAAGCTTTGGAATGGCGGGAATTTGAAACGTTCGGCTTCTGTAAATCTTGAAATTGTAGTGTGAAAACGGTGGTTTAGTGGTTAAAGTACTCGGTTTTCAACCGGTGAGTTTTCAGGCTTAAAGCTCTATCCATCTAATTCTTTTTAAAGAGTCCTATAGTATCTCTAGCACTCACGCTTAAAGGTGATTAAAAAACTTGTGTATTATATTGTCCTCGAGAAGTGACTTACACCATTTTTTATAAGTGAGAAGACAAAGTTTGATGTATTTACTCGATATAATTCCAATAACCTGACCATATACTTGTTAACTTATTTCATGTAAAAATGAAATAAACGTTAGTCAATAAGGTGTTAGTTGGGAATGCAAGAGAGAAATAGGGTATAATATTGGAAGAATAAAACATTGTGATGCCACTCTGGTTAGGATAGTTTAAGCATCACCAACGCAAATTCAACGGGAGGACAATCTGTTTCTTGGCACGTAAAGATGTAATCAGGCTTCCCGGAATTTATTGAGTAAAAGCATCTTATCTTTCAAATGGTCCTCGTCTTGTTATTAAGCCTTCATAATTGTTTGAAGTTAGGTTTCCCAAGTATCGGTTACGCCCTCACATTCAAGCTATGAGGTTTCGTTGTAATCACTTTGCGCTTTTAAGTAGTATTTAGTTTGTAGAAAATATTTTTAAGGAAGATGAAACCACCCTATTTCACTATCGTTTTTATTTACGTTTAGTGGACACGACATTTAATTCATCTGGCTCTAGCAGCACTCTAGTGATCATGTATGTACCATTATAATAGGTGGTTTCATTTGAAATTTGTACTTTAATAGCTAACAAACTAACGAGTGTTTTATCCTACTACAGTTTCACCAATGTTAATGATATAGAAACGCACTTTGTAATCATTTATTATGGTTTCACATGTCAATTCCTCTTCACCCACTTCGGTTTCGGTAACTCAGTTGTATACCAGCCTTCATGTAAGAGTGACTCAAAGTCTAATGAACGAAATTGAACTTGGTTACTGAGTTTTGTTAACGTATTTTGATATTAACCCATAAGTTTAATTTTCATTGGTTTTAGTTTTGTTCTTTTGCTGAGTTTAAAGCATATTTATTGTCATATAATCTAACTCCGAAATATCTTTGTGTAACTTAGGTCAATTAAAACAAAGGTCATTCCAGGTCACAGGAATTATAAGCTAGTTTTGAACCCATTCTTCCACTCCCGAGCTATCGTGTGTAAAACTCACTAAAAACTCCATACTAGGTTCTCCGAATATTTTTGAATAGACTCTCTATTGCTACTTTTATAAAGATTCTACTCAAATTTTTACAACCTAAATTCACTTAGTATAATTAAAATCTTCCTAAAGATCTACCACAGTCCATTTCAATCCTCTCTTGAGTAGTCAATTTTCCGCTTGAACCAAAAATATTAGTAATTATTTGGATCCACATTTATAACTAATTGATTAATTTTAAGATAACCGTTATTGTGAACTGTTATTTCAAATGAGACAGTATATAGATATGAAATGGATGTATAAAAAGAATATTGTTTGTAGTCTAGAAAAATGTTAATCTTTTAGTGATACTGACACTTAAGTAGAATTGATCCATCACTGTTAATCACTTTTCGAAGCAATTATTATCTCGAAGCGAAACACCCCAATTACTATGGATAATATTGTTACTGTCTATGTATAGAATAAGCACTAGAAAGCAAGGTGATACGTACAAAAGAAAGTCACGTTAAGACCTCTACCTTTCAAAATTTTGTCTTTCACCAAATATCTTCAGTATAAAGCTGTCGGAACTGATAATTTCTTCATAAAAGTATCCATCGTTCGTGTACAAACTCTTAGTAGAAACCCTGGAGTTTAGCCAGCCATCTGCGAGGATTTTTAAATTTGCATATGTTTAAATGTTACATTATTATACGAATGAATCTTATATTTCGTTCATCTAAATCCCATAATAAGTTTAAACAGATCAAAACAACAAAGTTTGGAGAATAAAAAAGGTTTATTCTGTTCCACCACTTCCCATCAGCTGCGAACAGTCTAACAATACAATGACTCATGTAATTCTGAACAAAGGCTTGATATACTTCATTTAGTAAAGTTTATATGGATTTTCTAAGCGGAATCAAAGATCATAATAAGAAATACAGGACACAAAATATATGACCAAACATAGTCAAGATTAGTAAGTAATCTAGGAAAATAATGATCATTAATACCGACTAGAAGAGTTATGTTGTCTTTACTAATGATTATATTTAATGATAAACATATTCTAGTGATATCCTAATGAGTAGAAAATTGTATTTCTGACGTTTTGTGACCTAATATAGGTAAATAAATAACCGAAATAAAATGGACACAACATGGGAGTTCACTTAAGAAAAAGGGATTGTGTAGTCGTAATGACGATAATAAATGGCTGGATAATTAGTACCATTTCATTTTTTGTACCTGAGATTTGTTTATGTATGCGGGTTAGGAAAAAAGATTAGAATAATATGTAATGCAGTTTGTGGACACTTTCTGATCCTTTGGGTGCGCCTTATTATTTTTTCCTCTAAATGTGACCTAAACGGCATTCCATAAATGTCGGCATCAGCATACATTATCTATTTTTTAAGGAACACAGTAAACTAAGTATTAGGTTTGGAGTTAGTAAGTGCACTTTCGGCTTTGATAAATAATCTCAGATGCATTACTACAGTATATCACAGAAATGTACAACTTTTCAAAAAGATTTTATTTGAAGTCACTGACCTTTGTACACTACTCAGTCAAAAAGACTGAATAATAGATCGGGACTCAAGCTAATGTGCAAGTTTTCGTCAGTTAAAATCCTTTCGACTTGATCATTATACTCATGCGTATAGAAAACATGTTTATTCTGTTTGGAATAAACTTAGGTTCTCTTTACAAGTTAGACAAAATCAGTCTTACTACATGTAACCATTCATCTATTTCACTGGCAAACTAGAGGTTTGAAACGTGTGTTAAGATATTCCTTGTCATCTTCCTGTATCCATCTACATGTTCAACAGAATAAATATTTTATACTCCCATTTTTGTTCGTGTAATATTTTCCCAACCGTGGCCTTTCACCATCTCGAAAACATATCTTCTCGATTGAACGCTACCTTGTTTTATCTTGTCGTCTTTGATTTTTATATTGGAATCGCCTATCACTAATACTTGTAAAACCGAGGAAACACTGCAATTCCCACGACGCGAAAGTAAAAACACAAAGACTGGTTATAAGTGAAGATTTATCAACTCCAAAACACGACGACTAGTAGAAAATATACTCATTTATATATTGATTCGTACACTCATTTTGATTAATAATTAGAAGAAAATCACATATGTGAAAAAATATTTAGAGTTATAACAATTCACACACTGAGCATAGTTCACGTCAATTTAATACAAGAATATCGTATGTTATTACATAATAAAATATCATACGAGAAAACAAAACTACCACACTGAATAATCATCACATTGAATCAAAATGGAATTGATGTTGAATAAAACTCATGAGTAAATCAATAGGAAATTTGTTTGGTTTCGGATATTTTATAGCTTCAATGTTAATCATTTGTTCCCTTCATAATAATAAATTGTCTATTTGATTTTTTTATCATGATCTTTATAGTGATATAGGACTTTATTTCCCTCTGTCTATATCAAGTTTTATTCTACAGTTAGCATTTGCATTACAACTGACGAATATATATGTAATGCAAGTAGGTTTTAGATTCCTATCGTATATGTCATTCACTTTAAACGTATCCTGCAATTCTTTGTGAAAGAAATTTAAAATCTTTTGATTTGGTATTTTTTCGTTTTGTTTTCTTTAGTGTTGTAAAGCACGTCATAGGCTGTGTCTCACACAGTGTCGCAAGTCTAGTGGTCGCACTTTTTGTCAACACCGCAGTTGTCGACTTCGTTCTCGGAAACGTCGACTACGACGACAACGTACTTTGTCTGGGTCTAAATGTTTTCGTTCTCCTCTTATGCATATAACTTCACCGGATCCTCACCTATTAAGTTGTTTGCAAGGTTGTGTTCATCGTATCCGAGAACCATTTACCCCGGATGAACAACTCGAAACTGGTATTGCTGTCACATTGGAACAAGAGTATAATCGAATGGATGCATGCATTCGGAGGATAATACGGGTTGTTAAACATTTGCCTTATTTTAGTGAAGTTGGTAAACCTGCTCAGCTAAGTTTGTTAAGAGTAAGTTTACAGATGTCATTCCATCCATTTTAAATTACATGGTAATTCTCAGTTTCCCATTTCTCATGTTTTATTCTACCACATATATAGTGATAAGTTTTCTGAAAACCTGATGGTGAGTTTCAGTCCTACAGCATATGTAGATGTTAGTTAAGATGGTAAACTTTCTGTCTAAACCTTCATATATTATGTTTCATTCGTACTTACTATCGATTGTTCGACATTATGTAAAGAATAAGTAGAAAATCAGAAACAATATTTAGTCTTGTCTTGTGGCTACTGCTGCACGCTATTATTTCTTCGACTTTCTCCACGATATATATATGACTCATTGTATATGTACATAGTTGATTGCTGAATACCGTCTGCTGTGATTTGTTTGCTGAAAAAAATATTGATTCAAACACATACCATCTTTAGTTGCGACCCCAGTTATCGCATACTTATCGATAGTTTGTACTTTATAATCTGTCTACAAGTTACTAATGTAGAGATCCACGAAGCATGCTGTGTATAATTGTGTTGTTAAATTCATAACTTTTATTGCTTAACATGTGGTTACACGTTTTGAGGTTTGTTGTACACAATCGGAAATGTTCCGTGTAACATTTCAAGAGCAGTTCAGAAGTCGAAAATGTTACAAGTAGTTCGTAATTCAGCCTCTAGATGTAGAAGTGAAGGGAGTAAATTATGGGATATATTGTCTTCTTCCTCCTAACAACACTATTTTCGGAGTCCTATGATCAGACTAATTATCTTTACTCAAAAATACCCAGATTGTGTAACCAAATTTATGAGGATTTAATTGGTAAATTTGTATATTTTTATCATAATCATCAAGCACTTGTTCGTAGACTATGGTATGTATAAATAGCTTCTTTAAAAACCACGACCAAATGGTACCGGCTGATTGTTATAACGTAAAGATATCAACTTACTCAACTGGAACTTGGGTATGAGCCACACTTTAAGTATGAGGGCTAACTGCACTGTCTGATTGCTCATACCGAAGTAAATTGTTACAACTTAAAATCTGTTAATTAGTTAGCGATTTCAATTCTGCTTGGTACATAAATCATAGCCTTCACGGGTTTTCGACAAGAGTTGTCATCCTTACAAAACTTGGTAACATGGAATTAGTTCTTAGCTGTCAGTCGATCTTCAATAGTTCTGTAATTGATTTTGATGAAAATTAGCTGAAGGCAGATTTATTCGTTTCCATAACCAATTTAAGTAATAAAACTGTTTTGCTGATTAACAACTTAACTCACTATTCTGAAATTGTAGATTAACCTTAAGTAAATAAGTACTATTGTAATCAATTATAACAAAAAGTATAAATTCAGTCAAACTATGCAAGTAGACATTTTTATGCACACCGACCCGTGATTGCCAGCTTATCGCTTTTTATCCTTTTTCATTATCATAGTTATCAATGACCTTAATCAGATCAAAAGAGCAGGTCACTATAATTCACCGTTCGATAAAATTGTATCGATTTTGTCTATTTGTCAACTGCCAAATTACATTAATTGTAGGTAGATTATATTTCTTATTACAATTAGTTTAGAATTGGTTCATAGTTAATTGATTGGTAATTATTTTATATTTCAATTGTAAAAGTCCTGTATATTAGTTAACAGTAGTGATGAATGACTGATTGAAAATGAGTATTTCTACAATTTTCTCTTCTCAATCATTCCAAATATCACGGTTATAATAAATTTACAGTCCGTCTCATGCTAACAGCTTTAAAATTAACGTCAACATGTCATGTTTTTTACAATACATAGATATAGTAATTATATCACTCACTAGAAAGTATTCAACTCTAAATGAAGGCGTCTTCATGCTCAAATATTAATTACGATTTTATTGATAGTGAGCACAGTCCTGTTTCTGTAATTCTATTGCTGGGCTTCAAGTTATCTTTCCCTATATATTCAGCAGTCTTTTGAATATGTATAATGAGGCTGATAGCATATGACTAAGTAATAGATACAACTCCCACATATATTTTAGAGGAAAGATTATATTTTGTACACCATAGAATAAATTCTCTATTCGAAAGTAGTTCAAGTTCTAGTAGCCTTTCAGTATGGTTTGCCAGACCCACTTTTTGGTAGTTTATTTGATCTTATATGGGCTCTCACAGTACTAGAGGTGATAAATATCTCTACACAAACTTGGTATTTACGGTAAATGTTGCCCTACTCGAATAACCGACTATAGGCCTTCAGTTTGTGCAGTTTTTTTTAACTTCATCTTCAGTAAAGTCTATATACTTCTCTTTGATTTGATTACAGTGAGCCAAAGAGTTCTTCGGAATGTCACAATTCTATATTAACATTTTCATTGTGGTACCAATGTATGTACAGAGTATTATAACTTGACATTTTATTTAGTATAGCTATTTCCGAATGATTTATTTTATATATAATTAAGTGATTATTGTCGTATTTTGTTATCTTTATATAGACAAACATTTACGGATTGATTGTACTATATTCGTCTTTTTTCTTCGAACGTGATATTCGAAAATTAAGATATCCTGTATTACAAACTGATGGTCAGTTAACCACCGTAACAGTTTCAATGCTGGATGAAGTAGCCACTCCTAGCACCTCTCTGAATGATCCAGACAATATGATCTCTGGATCATGTTCTAAATTGCTTCAAAGTAATAGTTTCCGATCATTTTCACGTTGTCGTTCTAACCAAGCAAACTATGCTATGGGTTACGTGAAGAATTTGAATTGTATAAATCGAATACCGTCGCTGCTTTTGATCATTTAGATGAGTTAGTTGGTTCAGATGATATTCTTCGAATGTCTGTTTTAGCCATCAAACTATTCTCTGATAATTCTCTTTCTGAAGATCTACGTCCTCCTGTGTTTGCCGCTAGACAGGCCTATACTTTATTTCTTTGGAATTATATTCGTTGGCAGGCAGGCTCTAAACGTGTGCGGTCTGCCACCGAACTTTACGCCCGTATCTTAATAGCTTTTATTGATTTACGAACCCTGGAAATTCGTATGACAGAATTCGCTAAACTACTCAGTTTAGATGGCCTCAGTCCATTAATGCGTGAGGTTTGTAGTCAACGAAGCAATTTAGGATCAACTTCCGCATAAAACTTTATAAGCAATCAAATATTCGTTAATAGTAACAACGATGTGTTATCCGAAATAAACAGTTTATCTACAACCTTCCTTTTATAAACTTATTCTGTATAGTATGAACAACAACATTTTGTTTCGTTTTGATTTATTATTTGTGTTGGGAAAAAGACAAAAATAATTAAAATTTGCATATTATATTATTATTGTATTCATAGAAAGTGAATAGTTGTACACCATTACTAACACAATATCTGTTATTACTGTTTACTTAACTTTTAATACTGCAACTATGACTACTACTTCAACTACTTATTGGTCCGTCTTTCGTCTAATAATATAAGAAATGAATTAATCTCCTTTCTTTGAGTTCAGACTGTGTAGAAATGAAATCTATTTGGTAACTGTGATTGTGCACTAATTTGTAGGTCTTTTGTATAAATGTGTGTCCACTGGGCACTGGTATTTATACATTCATCATTGTGATTGCAAAAATAATTAACAATTCTATTTCGGGAGTGTTGTTGTGTTTTGTTTCTTTTTATTACTGGCTAAAAGAATGAAGTAGAGAAGTAGTGTGTTCACATTTATTTATTTATAATTTTAACAAGATTCTGTATTTGATGGGTTATGTTTTTTTGTCCTGTTTAGTATTTTGTTTATGTTTGCTTTTACGTGTTCCAATTTCCTGTTTATTCCCACTACATCTTATCTACATTTCTACCCGACCATCCACCTTCTTAAGCTTATGCTGTACTCACTATACTCCTTGTGTTAATTTTAAACAGGTAATTAAGCATTCTGTAAACAATAGATGCTTTTGTTATAACTACCTCAGTTTACAGTGATATTTGTAATGGTACTATAACTACCCAACAGTAAACGTATATTTATGTAAAGTGCTAGTCAATTAGGTTATTTGGACATTATATAAATCTTAATACTAAAAATAATTTATTTGCTTTCAATTTCTTTTTTTAAAGTATAAATATTTATATAAACTATAAAATATGTGTTCCCTTCAAATATATATTTCTCACCTATTTGTTCGTAGTCTTAGTGGGTAACTCCGTCGTAACAAAGACAAGTGTTTGTGCTACTGCTTAATTCGAAAGGATTCATAGATTCTCCATTTAAGTATATATGATATATTATGATATTCAACTTGTTTGCTCTATGACATGGGGGTTTACAGTTAGATTTGGGAGGTAATTCGATTCAAGTTGAGTTGCTTTGACGATTCATAAGAAAACTTTTTGTCATTTGAATGTTAACAATCGTGAATCGGTCACACTACTTGCGATTTTATTATCAAAAGGACGAAATTTGAAAAAGAATCACAAACGATAGCATACCAGAAAGGGATAAATGTATCAAGTATCATCAATAACTTGTGTGTTCATGCGGAAAATTATCCATTACTGAAATAGATTTAGAGTCATATCACATGTATTAAGTATCGTCAAACCTAAGACTATGAGAATGTTGCTTCTCATTTACGTTATGAGTAATAATTTGGTAATGCAATTACTCTTCAATCATGACACTAAATGTCATGATCTTAAATAGTTTAGTCTTAACTCTTAAGAAACTTGGCGCATACATACTGTTTCCCTTTTGTACCATCAGTAAATTGTACTTAATCTCTACCTTGTGTTCGTTGAATTTGTCCATACATATTTATTAGTTAATTCGCTTTTTGAGTCTAAATTATGCTTATTCCTTACTGTTCTAAGATTAGTAAAATAACTAATCTATAAAGTATTCTATACTCATTGGAAGCATATCTTACGATGTATATATTGTTTCTCTGTTTGATTCAGTCGGATTGAATTAAAAGACAATTTGTTGAGGAAGACATACTATATGATACAGGTGTGTGAGCTAGTCATTATTTTGCAGAATAGTGTACTCTTATTCTCATACTTGCAATTATAATTTGGCAAATTGTTGAATGAGAAATTGATCTGTGTTAAACACAGTAGTTTCTTTCCGACATTTTGGCTTACGCCTTGATAAATGAAACGTTTTGACGGAAATATTGAATTTGGTAGCTAAATGTGTACCTCTCTGTTAATCTCATTTATTTTGAAAGAAACGCCTTTAGGTGGTATAGCAGAAGACATCAACTGGTCTGTCTGAAGAAATTTAACCTCAGATTTTCATAAAAGCGATATAAGCGAAAACACCTTTTCAACAGCACTTAAAAAATATCAATGAACAGAAGTAAAGAAGATATCATTTTTTTGTTTAAGGAAGTTAATGTAAATATTATTTCGTGTAAATTTATTTATGCATATATTGTACATGATTCATAATTTCTAAGATATTCTGATTAGAAACCATCTTAGATGATGTAAGATAAAATTTCTCAGTTCTGATACGAAAACTATTTGTAACTCAGAAAGCTCAATATTAAAGCACTCAGCTCTATAGTGCCTAGTATCTCCTCTGTGGTTATCAAATGATAACATCTTTTTATCATAATTAGACACACACACCCCCAAAGAAAAGAAAGATCGTTCAAGGTAAATACTCATGATAGGTTTTATCAAATTCACTACATACATTTAAATCGTTGTATAAAGTATATGGTCTACTACATAAATTGAAATGTTTCAGTATTGGTTCTTGATTAATAATCCAAATATATTTATCTAGTTTTAGCTTATTAATTCCGATTGTTTTCTTTTTAACAGTTAATTATTATTAATAAATACAAACTTCCATATATGTGATTTTGAAGGTTTATACTTCGATTTAGTGATAAATACAAATACTGACTTATCTCCAGCGTAGGTGATACACTTACTACTTGCAGTCAACTGAAGTAGATAAATTTAATTTCCCTTTACCTATTTACATTGTTGAACAAGTAGATGTAGTTTTCTGGCTTTCTGAATATAAATACATTGCAGTGCAGCTGATAACTTTCGTCATAATTACTTATATTTTAGCTGGTATATATACAAAACCTTATTGCGCAATTTGACTTGTAAATACCTTTATGTTTTGTAAAGATTCAATTTCTACTTGAAGATGATCTTACCAAACAATAGTCTTAAGCAATATATCAAATATTATTTCAATATTTAACTTGCTGGTTTTTTTGAAACCATTATGTTTCATATGAATATAATATTTTACTGAATCAATATCACATTCATAAAACAGCTTTATGACCATAATAAGTGACATTCTTTACTTCGTTTATAACCAATTAACAATCTACTTTTGATTATTCCTGGAATTGAAACTTTGAAAACTTCTATGTTTACCGATTGACGATCCACTCTGATCAACATATGATTACTAATATTTGAATTGATAACTCTAAACAGACTGAGTAATGGGCACATTGTTTATAACTGAGAGAAAATTACATAAACATATATAATATGCAGTGAATAGGAAATTTATTTATCATTTAATTGTTTTTCGATTAAATGTTTCATTTAATTCATCCATCTAAATAGAACGTATTTTATAGGTTTTTTGTCGACACCTATAACTTACCTTACGATATTATATTAAAAGTGAGATCGTTTGTCATTTTAATGATATGAGCATGAAAAATTTAGTATTAGATAGTTGGAGGTCAATTGTAGCTTCAGTAAGGTAGCATGTTTATTAGTGTCTTGCGTTGAGATAGTATATTCATATTTTTATGGTTTATTAGTCGGTGAGAACAAGCATAAACAGGCAATGTACGAACACCTGACTAAGCAATATTCATACACTGACTACTGATTTATAAAGACTTTTTGATAAAAGAAATGACTTATGAAGGTTGGTTGTGTTGAGAATGAAACTAATGCCATGTTTTAGAAATCTTTATCTAAATTTCGTAAAAGATATTATTTACATAAATGTGTCGAGTATATGAACTATATATATTGCAGGGTTGGCTTCCAGAAGCACGACAAAGCCTCTAGAAGCTCTAAAGAAGCCGAAGAGATTCTATCCAACCAGAGCCTGATAGAGCTTTCTAGAATATCAACGTGGCATGCTACGATTGGACGATAGCATAATTCGCCTATTTGCAAATTGACTGGGTTATAATGGTGTTGAAACCAACGCTAATAACTATAAATACCCATGGTTTTATGTACATTCTTGATTCTCACACGATAATCACTTCTCCTGCTTCTTCCGTACTCTAATTTGCGGCTGTGCGGTTTTACGCGTTCGAGTACCCTTAGTTGTATATCATATTCTGCCGTAATCAAGTAGAGGACGTTATATATATGATCAACGAAACTTCCAATTGCTTGATATTTTAGACCTGGGCAACTCATAGTTTTCTCCCTGTTACTGTCTGGAGATAAACACTAACAAAAGCCGTCATGTTCAATGTCTGTCCAATAAACGGAATGATTCGATGATAACTATCATGATCTGATGGTATATTGAATGAAAATCGAGCCTGGTGTACCTATCACATCCCTGTTTGATACTCGCCAGTCTGCACCCTCAATCCTACATGGAATCGGATTGAGTACACGTGAATTTTGCAGCATCTGGAGCCATAAACACACCTAGATCAATATTCTGTTATTTGTGTAAAGTTGTTTATCTATTCTGACTTCAAACAGACTAGACTTGGAACAGCTTCTCAAATCTCCGAAGGAATCAACCTATTCACGTTTTTTTTCCAAACACGTATTATCGAGTCCTGGATTGTCATCTAACACAGAGTAGACGTAAAAGGCTAATCCAACAGATTTGTATTTCAATCGAAAATTCTAGGAGACCATATCTTCTCAATAACTAAGCTTAAATACTCCTGAGGGACAGAAAGAGAGCTTTCGAGTAAACTATCAGCGGGCAAACGAAGTCGCTTTAAACTATAGGTAAACAGTGAAGATATGTAAAATAGTTAGAATTTGACATTTCCCGAAAATACCCTGGTGATCATCGTCAACTCTTCTTACAGCCTTACATGACTAGGTCAAAGTAGATCATCTGTACTACCATGTAGCTATTTAGCAATCAAGTACGGAATAGCATTCAAAAATCTTATTGGAATTTAACATAAGAAATGATGACGTGTTTGAATGGAAAAGGCTTTATATTGCAACTTGACGGCTTGTTTATTTCTCTCATTTGTCTTGAAAGTCGACTGATGCAAAAATGGACAATCCTCTTGGTGTTAGTTTCCAACACCTTGAAAAATAACATAAACGATGTGGATTCTCTCCCAAACATATTAGTAATTTGTTTTGAAGATTATTATGGATTTTATGATGACGGTGGTTTTCATGATGAATCATACGCCTGAATAAACAAAAACAGATAAGCTTCAATGCCCTATTGTTTCACAGTTAGGGGAGCTCTAGACGTCAAAGCCAAACAACGTGGAAGTCAAGAAATCTAAAACATATGGCAGGGACATCATCTTTAAAATACAATTCATACTTTCCGAATCCATACAATATTGGTAGTATAGTAATTAATACATTGATAGGAAGATTACGGAAAATCCATCTCAATGAATACTTTGGATATCCTAATTACTATTGATTTTGGTGGTTTGAGAGTAGATTTGAATAATGTTCGGTATCGCGTAGGTCTATTCGTATATATCTAACCTTTAAAGTAGTTCTCGCTCATGTATTGGTAAATGATACTTGTCTAACGCACAATCCGCTGTGGAATTTAGAATAAACGACATCATATTAAACGAATCTGAAAACAAAGACCTAAGTGACTGGATTATTTATCTAGTCATGACTGCCGATATTTCGAAGACTGAGGATTAATTACTAGAATAAAGTATGGATAAATTACAAACTGTCATTTAGCAGTTACTATCATCAGTTGGTAATCCCTCTACAAGTGTTTCAACAGCTGAGAGTGACCAGTAGTATGAAACTTTTCTAGGTATTTTTTCGAGGACGTCGATGGTTGCCAGCCTTCATAGTAAGACAACACGCCATAAACTTAGCACATCTCCACTTTTTCGGAAGTGTCTCTGTTAAAGTAAAATCATCATTTCTATAAACTAACAGGGTGTCAGAAAAGATCAGTACGTTACGTTCA